GTACATGCATCCTATAAAGGATGTATGTCACAACACTTTGAATGCAACATACTATGAAAAATAAAAACTAGCATAAACCCTAGTATAAATGAAATCAAGATATTAGGGTTACATACCTTTGATTTGTTGTAGTAAATGAATCACTTTAATCCCTTTGTAGAGTATGTCTTGTAAATATTAGCACCAAACTGATGGTGCCTCCCATGGTTCACACCCAAACCTTAGAACTAGAAGACAAGTGGAGAGAGGATAGAGGATATTTTCGGCCAAAGTATTCTTCAAGGAAGAGTATCAATCCAAAATCATAACCCTTGGGGTCCTATTTATAGTGTGAATGAGAGAAGGAAAACCTCAGATTTGAATAATAAAATATTCAAATTTATTCTATTCAAATATGGTATCCTTATCAGCTTTAGGAATATTCCAGAAACTCTCGAATACTCCTAAATTTTGTTCACTACTTATATGAGTTCTACAATTTTCTTTCATTGCTCAATTATAAACAATTATAATTCAACATTTAGACCTTTAATTAGTTCCATTTAATCTGGAATTAATTCCAGATTAATTTTGATTAATAATTAATCATTTCTAAGTGATTTCTCAATAATTTATTAATCTTATAAACTAGAAAATCAATTATTTATTTCCAATTAATATATATTAATTATAATATATTAAAAAATAATTTAGTACAATTTATTAACCATATAATAAACTAATAAATGTATTTTCTTTCTCTAAATGTCATTCTAACTAAGGTCTATTTATGAGGGCAATCCAAAAAGGATTTTCCTTCTATTTATAAAAATATATCAATTTAGTTATTGACTTACATAACTTAATCTAAAAGAAATATCAATTCCCTCTGATACTATGTCTAAATATGAGATCCATAAGTATTTGAAATTTGTTGTTTAATGTATGTCAAGTATTGAAAGGCTTTATTTTTATTTTTATTGGTTTTAAAATATGGATTTATTGCATGTATGATTTAATATTTTTCTGTTTTGAATATATAATAAATTTGGGTTTTTTTTTTTAAATTTATGAATTATTTTTATACTAATTGAATTTATCGGTAATCCGTTACAATAAAATTTGTTGATAATCTATTGGCAATCCATTACAGAATCATTATGTTGTTATTCTGGAGTAAAAAAAATGTCAGTAATTTGTTATCGATCACAAACGGTAAGTTCTATCACTAAAAATTTTCATATCTGTTGGAAACCCATCACAAACAATTACCTATCAAAATATACCATTCTATTTGGATTTTGTATTTTACAATTTCGACTTTAAAATCTAATAGCAATAGATTACGACATGCCTTGTTGTGATTGAAACTATGCTCTTGTTTAGGACCCCCAATTCTAACAGGGCCCACTTAACCCAACTTTCAATTAGGGATTACTAATTTCCAAATCTCCATTTGCGCAAACCATAAATTACATCAGCAGAACCGCAGAAACCATTCTCGTCAAAAGCCATTTAATGCAATTGCTCTTCTTCTCGTCCTGTGTCCTCAGATTTTATTCTTCATTCTCCTTAGAACCGCTGAAACCATTACCAATATGATTCTCTGATTCTTGATTCTTCTTCTTCTTGGATCTTATCGACTCTTGATTGTTCAAAAAAAAAAAAAAAAAAAATAGGTTAGCTTCATTGTTGATTTTTCTTTCTAAAAGGATGTCAAGTGTCAAGAACTCAACTAATTCGGTGATTCATGAATGCAAAAAGGATTAATTCTAAAAAGATAAGTTCTTCTTCCTTTGATTTTTTATTTCTCCATAACTGATAACTCCAGTGCTGATTATATATGATTGCGATATCATCAGAATAAGTTGAGATCACATATAAATTCGTCAGTAAAAGTTTGAGAAATCTGATGATCTATGATAATTTTTGATGAAGTTAAGACCTTGATGATGATCTTGAGGGATATCTTTCTTACCTTGGTTGTAACTAATGTAGGCCTCATTTATGTGTGTCAAGTATTCACACAAAATAAGGAATAAATTTGTTTCTCGAACATTGATGTACAATAGTTTTGACTCATTCATCTTTTTCGATTAAACTATCTATTAGGGTTAATAGGCCTTAATTTATTTTAATATTCACTGTGTCAAGTTCGATTTAGGAATGATGTTTGGATTTTGTAACGATTTTGATCGGAAGTTTCCAAGTTGGAACGAATTTGAGTTTTCTCAGGTCAAGAGTGCCAATAACTCACTTCTCAAATTTTGATAAAAGATGAGGATTTATAACATTACTTATAATAAAGACCAAAGGGTTATAAATTTCTTATTCACTTAGAGCCCCCAAACTCGATTAACAATCCCTAGGTTTGGCCACCGGTTGGAAACCCATCACAAACAATTACCTATCAAAATATACCATTGTATTTGGATTTTTTTTACAATTTCGACTTTAAAATCTATTAGCGACAGATTACTGACGGTCTGGACATGCCTTGTTGTGATTAAAACTATGCTCTTCTTTAGGACCCCCAATTCTAACGGGGCCCACTTAACGCAACCTTCAATTAGGGATTACTAATTTCTGATTCTCCATTTGCGCAAACCATAAATTACATCAGCAGAACCGCAGAAACCATTCTCGTCAAAAACCATTTACTGCATCTGCTCTTCTTCTCGTTCAGTGTCCTCTGATTTTATTCTTCATTCTCCTCAGAACCGCTGAAACCATTACCAATATGATTCTCTGATTCTTGATTCTTCTTCTTCTTGGATCTTATCGACTCTTGATTGTTCAAAAATCAAAAAACTAGGTTAACTTCATTGTTGATTTTTCTTTCTAAAAGGATGTCAAGTGTCAAGAACTCAACTAATTCGGTGATTCATGAATGCAAAAAGGCTTAATTCTAAAAAGATAAGTTCTTCTTCCTTTGATTTTTTATTTCTCCATAACTGATAACTCCAGTGCTGATTGTATATGATTGCGATATCATCAGTATAAGCTGAGATCACATATAAATTCGTTAGTAAAAGTTTGAGAAATGTGATGATCTATGATAATTTATGATGAAGTTAAGACCTTGATGATGATCCTGAGGGATATCTTTCTTACCTTGGTTGTAACTAATGTAGGCCTCATTTATGTGTGTCAAGTATTCGCACAAAATAAGGAATAAATTTGTTTCTCGAACATTGATGTTGAATAGTCTTGACTCATTCATATTTTTCGATTAAACTATCTATTAGGGTTAATAGGGCTTAATTTATTTTAATATTCATTGTGTAAAGTTCGATTTAGGAATGATGTTTGGATTTTGTAACGATTTTGATCGGAAGTTGCCAAGTTGGAACGAATTTGAGTTTTCTCAGGTCAAGAGTGCCAATAACTCACTTCTCAAATTTAGATAAAAGATGAGGATTTATAACATTACTTATAAAAAAGATCAAAGGGTTATAAATTTCTTATTCACTTAGAGCCCCCAAACTCGATTAACCGTCCCCGGGTTTGGCCACCGGTTGGAAACCCATCACAAACAATTACCTATCAAAATATACCATTGTATTTGGATTTTTTTTTACAATTTCGACTTTAAAATCTATTAGCGACAGATTACTGACGGTCTGGACATGCCTTGTTGTGATTGAAACTATGCTCTTGTTTAGGACCTCCAATTCTAACGGGGCCCACTTAACCCAACTTTCAATTAGGGATTACTAATTTCCGATTCTCCATTTGCGCAAACCATAAATTACATCAGCAGAACCGCAGAAACCATTCTCGTCAAAAGCCATTTAATGCAACTACTCTTCTTCTCGTTCAATGTCCTCTGATTTTATTCTTCATTCTCCTTAGAACCGCTGAAACCATTACCAATATGATTCTCCGATTCTTGATTCTTCTTCTTCTTGGATCTTATCGACTCTTGATTGTTCAAAAATCAAAAAACTAGGTTAACTTCATTGTTGATTTTTCTTTCTAAAAGGATGTCAAGTGTCAAGAACTCAACTAATTCGGTGATTCATGAATGCAAAAAGGCTTACTTCTAAAAAGATAAGTTCTTCTTCCTTTGATTTTTTATTTCTCCATAACTGATAACTCCAGTGCTGATTATATATGATTGCGATATCATCAATATAAGCTGAGATCACATATAAATTCGTTAGTAAAAGTTTGAGAAATGTGATGATCTATGATAATTTATGATGAAGTTAAGACCTTGATGATGATCCTGAGGGATATCTTTCTTACCTTTGTTGTAACTAATGTAGGCCTCATTTATGTGTGTCAAGTATTCGCACAAAATAAGGAATAAATTTGTTTCTCGAACATTGATGTTGAATAGTCTTGACTCATTCATCTTTTTCGATTAAACTATCTATTAGGGTTAATAGGGTTTAATTTATTTTAATATTCATTGTGTCAAGTTCGATTTAGGAACGATGTTTGGATTTTGTAACGATTTTGATTGGAAGTTGCCAAGTTGGAACGAATTTGAGTTTTCTCAGGTCAAGAGTGCCAATAACTCACTTCTCAAATTTAGATAAAAGATGAGGATTTATAACATTACTTATAATAAAGACCAAAGGGTTATAAATTTCTTATTCACTTAGAGCTCCCAAACTCGATTAACCGTCCCTGGGTTTGGCCATCGGTAATTCCCTTTTTCGTAGTATTACAAAACTGCGAATAATGACCATGTTCCGAAAAATAAACTTGTTTAACGGCGATCAAAGAAAATATCATACTACAAGGAACATTTTTTTTTCATTTTTCTCTAACCGAAAGGATTGTATGTTGTGTCAGCTTTATAAACATTGATTTTATATTTTCATGTGTTATCATATATTTCGAGTCGATAATCATGCCGTAGCAATGAACCCATAATTCCATGCTGTTTTCATGTTTCGTAGCTTCGGAGAATTAGTCAACTCTTTAAACTTTATCAATATTTATCTTTTTTCTCGTTACGTTAAATGTGCTTGAGGTTGCATGCAATGATTTTTTGGTTAAATTTAGTAATGTTCAAGAGCCGAGTAAGATTCTAAAATTCAATCTTCTTTTATGCCTATAAACTGTTTAGTCAATTCAATATGCTTTTCTAATCATTAACTATTTTATTGCTTTGTTCTCATGATTAGGCATAAATCTAGTTATTTTTTGTACTATTTGACTATTTGTCCTTTTATTTATTTATTTATTTATTTATTTATTTTGTAGAGTTTACTTGGTTGTATAATATGAAGAAATAGATATTGAGTGGATGTGTTTTTACTTTTGAGTTCCAACTAGCAGCTGGCTCTTATGACTCTTATGAACTTCTAAGCTTAATTAATTAAGGTTATGAAAAATAATAACCAAGCAGCAAACTGATCAAACACTTGTTAACATTGATTTTGACAGAATTTGTCAATGTCTAATAAGTTTATGTTGTACGACATATCTGGATATTGTAACAGCCAAGTTTATTTGCTCTTATATTCCTAATGTAGTATATTTGGCTATTTGCTTTTGAATATAGTTACGGGAAAATGACTTAAAAGCCCAACGAAGTTTCCAAATCATTCAAAAAACCTCAATCTTCTTTTGTCTGTTCAAAAAAATCCAACGAACTTAACCTTTTGTCTAAAAAATCCAACAAAGTTTCAAACCGTTCAAAAAATTCCAATTTTGTTTTGTTTAAGTTCGTTGGGTTTTTTTTTAACAGTCAAAACATGATTCGAGTTTTTTAAACGTTTTGGAAACTTCGTTTGTCTAACAAGTCATTTTTCCGATATGGTAATAAGCCACGTCATCTGTATCTCTTATTTGACTTTCGAGAAAACATGATTCGAGTTTTTTAAACGTTTTGGAAACTTCGTTTGTCTAACAAGTCATTTTTCCGATACGGTAATAAGCCACGTCATCTGTATCTCTTATTTGACTTTCGAGAAAGTGTAACTTAGTTGGGTTTTTTAGATAAAATGTTAAGTTTGTTGGGTTTTTTTGAATAGACAAAACATGATTGGGGTTTTTTAAACGGTTTGGAAACTTCGTTGGGCTTTTAAGTCATTTTTCCTATAGTTACTTACATACGACTAACCAGATCTTAATGGTGAACTAAAATGTAGGTCAACATGGGAAGTAAGTTGAAAACTCTAGCAATTTTACTATCCTTATCTACTCTTCTCTATGCTCCATTATTTTCCACATCAGTGGAGCGGCTTGTTAGGATCAAACTAAAGAAAGTGAAATATAATGGAACCAATTCAGACATCACTTTAAACGCATCCATTACGAAGTACACAAAGAGTTTAAATAACCTTAGTGATTCCCATCAATCTGATATCGTAGCCCTGAACAACTATATGAATGCTCAATACTTTGGTGAGATCGGCATTGGCACCCCACCTCAGAAATTTAATGTGATCTTCGATACAGCTAGTGCTAACTTGTGGGTACCTTCCTCACAATGCTTATTTTCGGTAAGTTATGTACTATATATATATATATATATATATATATATATATATATATATATATATATATATATATATATATAGAGAGAGAGAGAGAGAGAGAAAAAAAAAAAAAAAGAGAGAGAAGATGTTTTTGCGAACCATATTTTCCTACCAACTACTTTTAAAATACCACTTTTTATGTGTGACTTTTTACTTTAAAAAAAAAAAGTGACACAAAGCATCAAATCATTCTTATAGAAACATATTCACAAATAAAAATCTCAAAAAAAAAAGTGCATATACCACATGTGCATATACGCACAAACGCGAGAAATTCACAAAGTTCATAAAAAACTCACTGTACATTTTAGTTCTCAAGTTGGCTCAAATCATTAGATCTCAATAGAACTTTTATATATATATATATATATATATATATATATATATATATATATATATATATATATATATATATATATGATTACTAATTTTTTTAGATCATTATTAGCATCACTTCTTCTATCACCCAAGCAATTCCTTTTCACAAGAATCATGGTCACTATCATTTTTGTTGTTTGTGTGAAATTTTCAATCTTGTTTGAATTTTTATTTGTTCGTTTTTGGTCAAAGTCTCATTAACAATATCATCAAGTTCATCAACATTCAAACATCCATTTATATTAACAATACCATAAGCATACGAATCATTAGGAACGGTGTCATAGTCCCTTTACTTTCTTTATCAAATGTTTTTTGATCAATTAATTCTCTTTTGAAAGTACAAAAGGGAAGCAGCTTCCCATGTTTTTGAATACATATATCATACGAATGATAGGGATTTGTCAATTTACCATACAAACGGTTGGGTGTATTGTAATATATGTTCCTTTGTTTAACTAGAATACAATTATCCATTCGAATACCATCCCTATCACACATAATGTTTGTAATCCTAAGCTTTAGACCTTCTATCTTACTATTCTTATCCTCCAACTTATTTTTGGCTTCATATAGTAAGGTCTTAGATTTTTCTACTTCATTACTTATAAAATCACAACATGTTATTAAGATAAGAACAAGTTTAATCAAATTTAAATAGAATAAAATGATAAGAATAAAAGAATATTAAGGGAGACAAGAATACCACATTCCATTGTTGTCATTAGATATTTTGGTGTAGTCGAAACAAAGCACTGGCCAACTATCTCCACATGTTCTTCATCACTCTCCTCTCCTTTCGTATACTCCATCCTCTCATCATCACTATCTTCCTCATCATCCTTCAACCAGCTCTTTCCTAGAGATCCACCTTCTTCATGTTTAGCAAACAACATTGCATGTAAGGGATGACGCATTTCCTAATCAACTTATTCGGAAGACCAATCTGATAACTTCCATCACTATCTTCAGTACCTTTAGCCATCAATGAAAGATTCTTTGATTAAGCATAAACTTCTTCAAGCCTCTCCGCATAATAGGCTTCATCCTGCACTTTCTCTTTCTTTTCCTATTTCTTCCTCGACATACAATCTGTTCCCAGATGATTCTGACCATTGCAATAGTTGCAGTTGTACCCCAAAACACCTTCCAGTTACTTCTAAGCCTTCTTTTCTTCTTATTTCATCTCAACGTTTGCAATTTTTTTTGACTTAATTTCCAATTACATTCGTCATCGGCTACTTCTCCAAGCTGTTCTTGAAATTTCCACTTATGTACTTATTGTAGAACCTTTTCACCCTATTATTCGAATAATAGGCAACAACTTTATCGTCAGAATTAAGGAGAAAACCTTCTTCACCTTCTTTCACATCTTCTTGAGACTCGTCTCCCAGCGCATCTGTTTTCGAAACCAATGCCATAAGACCTACAAAATCCATCTTGTTTTCTTCAACAATCTCCATCACCTTTGATTCGTGCGCTTTTAGAATATTGTAGAGATTCGACAATGAGTATCTCTTTAAATTCTCTTTTGTCTTAATCATCAAAAAAATGTTTCTCCATTCCTTTATGAGTCCGAAAACAAAGGTGTGATGAAGCTCCATGGTTGTACGAAATCGTTCCATATCGAATTTATTTCAAATCAACATGATCAGACTGTCGAAGTATGACTCGATACTTTTGTTCTCCATTTGCTTAAAATTATCTAATTCAGAAAAGCAGTTGATTACTGAACTCTTCTTTGTTCTTTCACTTCCTTGATACTTTTCTTTCAAAGTATTCCAGATCTCCTTTGTCGTCTTCCATCCATGAATATAATTGTAAACGACAGGTGGAAGAGCTTATCGTAGTTCATGGTGGCATCTTTTATCATTTGCTTTCTTCTTATTACCTTGAGCAATCATATCCTTAGTTACTCTAGCGTTACCAACAACTTGAACCAAATCCGAATGATAAGGTCCAGTCACGATCAATCTTTGCATATCCTCATCGATATCGTTAAGATAATGATCCATACGACCAACCCACTGATTGTAGTATTCTAGGATTAGGATCGGAATCTGGGTTGCAGGTCTAGGTAGATTCGTGAAGTTCATCATTGTGTTTACGTTGAGATTTTCAAACAGATTGTGTGAAAAGAGGAATTTATTTAAGAGAAATGAATCAAATACAAAATTGACTGACAAAAACAGATGTTGAATCAGTTAATTACAATCGATTACAAGAAGAATCATTTTTCTATCTTGCGGAAATATTAAATAAGAAAGATAGACTCAATAAAATATAAAAAGTGAAAGAATTCTTCAATCGATGAAATGATTCCTACTCGGATACTAATTAATGTTTTGTTTGAAATGTGTTTATGTCAATCAGTTATGAAAAGCATAATAAAATCAAGTTGAGTTGAATTAGATCTTGTTTTCAGCTTAATATATCTGGAAGATTACAAAGAGAATATGAGTATAATTAATCAAGCCTAGTGCGAAAAGTTATTGTACCTTCTAAGTACTTACCACATTTATAGGGTACTTACGGAAAAAAAAATACTAGGACTATACATGTCAATACGAATCACCTTGAGTCCTAGTAAATATAAAAAAGTCATGTGGACATTTGCTATTTACAGACATTTTCCTTAAAGACACTACAATTCGACTTCTCACAACAACTTTCTACATAACAAGCACTTGAAGCATATCAAAATACAAAAAAAGCTCGTTGGTTGAGATGAAGCTGGAGTTTGCCTCTTGTCCTTTCGCTGAGTTGCCAACTCAATTTCCCTTCTCTTTTCATGATCTTGGATCCAGACTATGTTCTTTTATCGATTGTTTGATACGAAATCCCGGATATCAGTCTTGATCATAGTCAAGTATTGACACATATGAACTTGCTATGTTGAGGTATATTTTAGGCAAAATAAGGCTCTTTTAGTGAACATCTTGGTGATCTCAGTCATCAATTTAGTAGTTTGTTTGAGTGACAGATATTCTTGAGCGAGTCGCTCCCTCTCTACTGGTGGAACATACTCTACGTTGAACTACTCAATGAGCTACTCCCAAGTCACCACGATCTTCAATAGTTATTGGTAATAAATTTAAACTATTCTTTTGTTCGTAAATATAGAAGATTTTGCATATATCTGAACCTAAGTTTCACCGAACAATTGGATCGCAAACACCATTAGACTATGGGGATTTGGTGTTGTTGAACTCTCGATAGGGGAGTTCCTTTTATCCAAAAGGGGTTGTAGCAGCAATGGAGGAAGTGGCAATGATAGTGTACCATTCATTAAACAATGTTATCAGTTCAATCGTAATAGTTACTAACATTTCTGGAATTATCTCTCTTATGGCTGTTGATACCACCGTTTCTATCCGGTCATGTATCTCAGCCTCGCTTGGTCCTGACCCTTCAGATCCAGAACCTGAACTGCTTCCTCTTGTGATCATTACCATGCTAAAGGTGTTACAAGAATTGGTAAATACAAATAGAACCAACTCCAAATAGATATTCAAATCCTCTCCATTTCCTTAACAACTTAATGGCTTTTCTTGATTTATCTGTTGATCATGTGTGTCCGGTAGTATGGGCCTATACTACCTTCCACACATATCCATACTAGATCCAACAATTTCACCAAGGTTTCTAAGTTACTACACACATTTACCGATAGTTCTTTTTACACACCAACTTTTATAAGTGCTTAATCACTTTCATTCCTAGACTTTACTACAACTTTGCACCTTTGTTGATGCCTTACCTTACAAATATATGCCCTATCAAGCATATATTAAACTTCCCAGACCTTCCTTCTAGGATTACTCTTTACTATTAGTTGATGAATAACTTCTACGGATATGAACTAATTAGTGGATGAACGTGATTATGTGATTATATGCCTCTAAAATCAAATAGTTTATTGACTACATGATCCAACACTATGACGGTTAGACTCAACCGAGAGTTGTGCAATAGGTGCATGCAACCTAACCCATTTTCAAATAACTAAACCATATTAATATAGCTTCTAAGAAACAATTAACAAGCAAATTTCTAGGCTATAACGCATCTTAAGTATCAGGCAATTCTAACCGGCAATTTCTGAAAAGATTCATATCCTACATACAAGCATGCATTTCTAACATTTAATGTATAAACGAAAATAACAAATATAGATATTTTGGGACTCGCTTTCCTTTATGAGCTTTGGCACATTCGTTCCCTTTTATATTAATCTTTTTATGAAAATATTTATTAGTTACTCAGATCCTTTATTTAGTTATGGAATCGCACGAGTGTTCATCCCGTTGGCTCAAAGCAGGTAATGATCATAAGAATACCTGAAACATGTTACAAATGCGTGTGTGTAGATTCGAACCTTTCCCTTCACACTAGTACCTGAAAAACATTTATATTCAACTAGATAAACATAAAGCTTAGTGAGTTCCCAAAGATTTCATATACCACAATACACATACATGCATACAAATCGGCCCCGCCTAAACTTCATAATGGGCTCCGCCCAACTACTTAATGCACCCCCACCCAACTAATTATTGGGCCTCACCCAACATACTTAATGGTTCCTCCTGACATATATAACCATACATCGAGATTACACATTAGGTCCTACTAATTCAGGCATTTAGAAGCTTTACTATCAACTCTATCTTACTAAATCTTACATCCTAACATACATGTGTGTGTGTGTGTATATATATATATATATATATATATATATATATACTCATATATATTGTAACATGTGATATAGTCAGATGACTCACCTGGATAGTTACTCGGATGATTGACCGATATCCCTTTGGCATAACGAGGAACATGTCTAACAAATATAAACATGGATTACTATATCTTATCAATTCCAAGGACAATCTGATTATGAAAGTTAAATTTATCACTAATCCCAATGAATACCAAGAGTTTTATCAAACAAGGATCAATCAAGGCGGACATTTGGGAGACATGCTCATTGCGGCGTATAACTTTTCTGAAATCTGACAACCAAGCCAACATAACCATCTAGATGCCTCTCCAGTAAGTAGATCAATCAACAATATAATTGGAACTAATAATAAATCCCACATATATATATATATATATATATATATATATATATATATATATATATATATATATAACTACGATATGTATATAAATATAAGATACACTAGAAGCGTAGCTTAACTTACAGGGGTCCTAGCGAAAATTGGGAAGATTGCAGGTAGAGTTTCGATAATGAGCACTTCTATTTCACCAAGCTCTCAAATGCCTCAAGATCTCACTACTAAACAATTCCTCAGAAACTCGAAAGTAGCTCTTGAGGTTGAATTTATAAAGAAATGTATGAGAATTGGGTGTGAGAAATGAAGAAGCATTATACAATATTTATAGGGCTAAAAAGGATATGCGCGCCGCACACCGTGTTTATGCACGCTACACTCTTTTTCGGGTGGGTGATGTGGCTCAATGAAGAGTGTGACACGTGACAGCTTCTGGGTGGTGTGTCAGTGCATGCATCACCCCTTGTTGGCATACGCGCATGCGCTAGAGATTTTCTACTTTTTCAAAAAATCATATCTTTTTCATACAATCTCCATTTTCGATGTTCTACATATACATGCTTAGCAATCTACGAGATCTGCAACATTCATTAATACTTTGTCGTCTAATTATCAATTTATTTTTAAAGTTATATTTTCAACATGCGTAGATTGTTAACTCCCATATAAAAATCATAACTATTTCATATGATATCCGTTCTCGATTGTCTTTATATTGGTGGATAAGTATTGATGAGATCTTCAACTCTCTTTTAGATTGACTTTCCTAACTATCAACCAATCTTAATTTCAATTTTTGTATGGTAAATTGCTACACTAAAACTTCTAAAAATCATAACTTCCTTATTCGAAATCAGATTTAGGAGCTATAAATGTGTACGCTCTTGCTTTTACGACTACCATGGTTTTTTTAAACAATATTTATCATAAATATTCCTCTATCAAAAAGTCTATTTAACATAACTTGTCGTTTATACCAAGGTTGTAGAACTCATTACTCGGTACCTGTTCGGCCGACTACCGAGTAGCAAGTAATCAGGAGTACTTGGGTAGTACTCGGATTCAATAATTCATGTAGAAATATATTTAGGGAACTTATATATGTCAAAATCATAAGTTAAAATCATATGAAGGGAAGGCGTGGGAAGAGTCTCGCATGCGGAACACCGACGGTGCAGGGAAGGTGGCGTGGGGAGGAGGGTGGGGGTGGGCATGTCACATTCTCACTCCTCATATGAAGTGACAAGGTTACAGTACGTAATCTATGCATGTATCATATTGCATAACATGATTCTTGAAGATGAAGGAAAAGTGATCTGTCAGTACAACAAAAATGAAGTTTTGCCAAATGTCGAAGGAGTAGCCGTTGGTACACAAGAGTATAGGGTAAATATAAGAGAAGTACACAATCGCTATAGTCATTACGCCCTTCATACTGATTTGGTGGAGCACGTTTATAGGACTCAACTTCAGTCGCCGATATAGTTTTCTCACGATGATTTGTTTGACGAATCAGATGAGGATTCTGATATGTTCATAGAGAGCGAAGATTTCGATGACGAGAGTGATGTTCGGGAGAATGATGAAGACGAAGAGATCGATGATGAGGACGATGATTCCGAGTTACGTATTTTGTTTTTTTTTTCAAATTAGGATATTAATTGTGAGTTTTCTATGTTATGGGTTGTTTGATTTTTTGTTTGCGGTTTTTTTTTCAATTACTACTTATTTAAATATTAGGTTTAATGTAATTTTTATTTTAATTAATGAAATGCTTTTTATTTTTAATTAAATTTTATGTTTATTATTAATTTAAAAGTTATAAATCATAAAAAAGAATTAATTTTATTTAAAAAAAAACAAAAAAACAAAATAGTGAGGGAATGGAGGAAGCAGCGGTACTGGCAACGATAGGGGAGTTCCTTTTATCCAGACGAGGTTGTAGCAGCAATGGAGGAAGCAGCGGTACTGGAAACGATAGTGTACCATTCATTAAACAATGCTATCAATTAAATCTTAATAGGTCCTAACATTTCTAGAATTATCTCTGTTATGGCTATTGATACCACTGTTTCTATCCGGTCATGTATCTTAGCCTCGCTTGGTCCTGACCCTTCAGATCCAGAACCTGAACTGCTTCCTCTTGCGATCATTACCATGCTGAAGGTGTTACAAGAATGGGTTAATACAAATAGAACCAACTCCAAACAGATATTCAAATCCTCTCCATTTCCTTAACAACTTAATGGCTTTTCGTGATTTGTCTGTTGATCATGTGTGTCCAGTAGTATGGGCCTATACTACTTTCCACACATATCCATACTAGATCTAACAATTGCACCAATGTTTCTAAGTTACTGCACTCATTTACCGATAGTTCTTTTTACACACCAACTTTTGTAAGTGCTTAATCACTTTCATTCCTAGACTTTACTACAACTTTGCACCTTTACTGATAGCTTACCTTACAAATATATGCCTTATCAAGTATATATTAAACTTCCCAGACCTTCCTTCTAGGATTACTCTTTACTATTAGTTAAGCAATGACTTCTACTGATATGAACTAATTAGCGGATGAATGTGATTATATGCATCTAAAATCAAATAGTTTGTTGACTGAATGATCCAACACTATGACGGTTAGACGCGGCCGAGAGTTATGCAATAGTGCCAAATCAAGCAATCTAAAACTATTTAATTATAGGAGCATGCAACCTAACCCGTTTTCAAATAACTAAACCATATTAATATAGCTTCTAAGAAACAATTAACAAGCAAATTTCTAGGCCATAAGGCATCTTAAGTATTAGGCAATTCTAACCGGCAATTTCCAAAAAGATTCATATCCTACATAGAAGCATGCATGTCTAGCATTTAATATATAAACAAAAATAACAAATATGGATATTTTGGGACTCACTTTCCTTTATGTTCTTTGGCACATTCGTTCCCTTTTCTATTATTCTTTTTATGAAAATATTTATTAGTTACTCAAATCCTTTGTTTAGTTATGGAATCGCAGGAGTGTTGATCCAGTTTGCTCAAAGTAGGTAATGATCATAACAGTACCTGAAACACGTTACAAATGCGTGTGTGTATAGTCGAACCTTTCCCTTCACATGAGTACCTGAAAAACATTTATATTCAACTAAATAAACGTAAAGCTTAGTGAGTTCCGAAAGATTCCATATACCACAATACACATACATTCATACAAAGTAACGG